TCAAGTGGTAGAGCGCTAGCCTTGAGCTGAAGAGCTGAGGGACAGCGCCCAGGCCCAGAGTTCAGGCCCCACGACCGGACCCAAAAAAAAAAAAAAAAGAGTTTATGTTCTGAAATATACTTAAATTTATATCTTTGATCTATCTTTTAGCTACAAAAAATTACTTCATATGTTTATAAAGCTTATATTCATTCGCTGATGTACATTAAATGCCCAGCACATTATAAGCTTTCTAGATGTTATTGACCTTTAAAATGATATTGTTCCCTAATCTCTGTTCTGTGTACTATTTTTCTTCTCCTCTTTGTTGGTCATCTAGTCAAGAGTCAAGTCTTTCTAAGCATCATTCTAGGCCATCTTCTTTCTCTAGAGCTTCAACCTCATCTGTTTGTGTGTTTACTCTCTGAGGTACTCTGTGGACATCTCAGATTCTACCTATTTTTATCTTCCCATCCCAGTATTCTACCTCTCCATTATCTTGAATGAATGTTAACATCATTTGTCTTGCAGCCAGAGTCAGAAACTTAGGTATTGTTACTGATGTTTTGTTTTTGTGATGCTAGGAATTAAACTTATGCTTTATGCATGCTAGGCAAGTACTCTTATCATTGAACTACATTCCCAGCCCTGATACTGATTCTTATTTCTTTCTTATTCTCCTCACGAGTCAAATAGTCCTAGTGATTCTAACGCCATTCTATTCCTATCTTTTCACCTCCCCTGAAACTGCTAATGTTATCTCTTACCTAGATTTCTTATTGTAAGTCTTTTAAAATATAACAAACCTAAAGTTACTAACAGCTTCCTGGACTTTTTCCATTTGACTTATGGTTTTGTTTTATTTTTGAAATAGTGTCTCCCTGTGTACACTAGGCCAGCCTTGAACTTATGTCCTACCATACCTCACTAATCTCTAATTCTTATATTACGGGGAAAAAAAAGGATCTTTCAGAAAAATAAATCTCATTCCACTATTGTCTTTGTTGCTGTTGTTGCTGGTTGTGGGCTTGAGTCAGGGCCTGGGTGCTATCCCTGAGTCTCTGTGCTTAAAGCTAGTGCACTACCATTTGAACCACAGCACCATTTCCAGCTTTTGAGTGGTTAATTTGTTAGTCTCATGGGGACTTTTCTGCCTGGGCTTGTTTCAAACAGTGATCCTCAGATCTTAGGCTCCTGAGTAGCTAGAATTATAGGCAGGAGGTACTGACTCCTGGCTTCCATTATTGTCTTTCTTAAAATCCTTCAGTGACTTCTGTTTTCTTTAGAATTTGTGTGCGAGTGTATGTGTTTATGCATGTGTGCATACATGTGCAAGCAGGTACTGGGGCTTGAACTCAGGGCTTGGTCTCTGTTCCTGAGTTTTCTTGGCCAATACTAGCACTACTGATTTGGGCAGTTAATTGGAGATAAGAGTCTTGTTGACTGTCGGGGTGTCAGTGGATCATGCCTGTAATCCTACTTACCCAGGAGGCTGAGATCTGAGGATAGCCATTCAAAGCCAGCCCAGAGACTTATCTCCAGTAAACCACCAGAAAACCAGAAGTGGTGCTGTGGCTCAAGTGTTAAGAATGCTAACCTTGAGCTGAAGAGATGAGGGACAGTATCCAGGCCAAGAGTTCAAGCCCCATGACCAACCAAAAAAAAAAAAACAACAACAACAGTCCCATGGATTTTTCCTGCCCAGGCTGCCTTCAAATCATGATCCTCAGATCTCAACATTCATGAGTGACTGGTACTTGTCTGGTCTGCATTTTACTGTTGCTCTTAATAATCTCTTTTTTGAGGTCACCAAGTACATCTAATTTCCAAATGCAGTAATCTTATATTCCATAGTTCTGAATATATGACAGTGTTACCTCCTTTCCTCTTTTCAAAAGTTTTTTTGTGTTTGTTTTTTTTTTTGCTGGTCCTGGTGCTTGAACTCTGGGCCTCAGCCTCTATGTGCTCAAGGCTAGTGCTTTACCACTTGAGCCACAGTACCACTTCCGACTTTTTCTGCTTATGTGTTACTGAGGAATTGAACCCATGGCCTCATGCATATAAGACAAGCATTCTACCACTGAACCACCTTCCCAGCCCCCTGTACATCTTTTAAAACAAACCTAAATTTACTAACAGCTTCCTGGACTGATTTCTATGACAGTGAATTTTCTGAGTTGACATTTCTTCAGTGATTACTTCTATATAAATGGCCAAAATGGCTCAAGCCTATACTCCTAGCTACTCAGGAGGCTACTCAGGAGATCTGAGGATCATAGTTTGAAGCAAGCCCAGGCAGAAAAGTCCTCATGGGACTCTTATCTCCAGTTAATCATGCAAAAACCAGAAGTGGAGCTGTGGCTCAAAGGTCCTGAATTCAAGCCCCACCACTGCCATTGACAACAAAAATAAGGGGGGGGGGAAGCATTTCCTCTTCCATGCAGGAAATAAGAGTTATAGTTGCGTGAATAATCCTATCATAAAAAGTTTTATTAGCATATATTAGTTGTACAGGGGTGATGTTTTTTTTTTTTTATGCTGGTCTTAGAGCTTGAACTCAGGGTCTTGCCACTGTTCCTAAGCTTTTGTGGTCAAGGCTAGCACTCTACCATTCCAAGTACAGCTCCACTACTGACTTTATGATGATTAATTAGAGACAAGAATCTCATGGACTTTCCTGCCTGAGCTGGTTTTGAACTGCAGTCTTCAGATCTTTGCCTTCTATGTAGCTAGGATTACAGATAGGAGCCACAGGTGCCCAACTAATGATGCTGGTTTTCATTGTGACATTCCCAGGCATGGACACTGATCAACTTCCCTCCTCTACCAGATGGTTAAGAATTCTTCAGTGACCTTTATTTCCGTTCTCAGTAATAATGAGCTATCATATTTCAAGACAAAAATAGATTACTTTTTTTTTGTGCTATTCTCTATCTATCTATCTATCTATCTATCTATCTATCTATCTCTGTCTGTCTGTCTATCTGTCTGTCTCTATTCTCTGTCTGTATTATTTTCCATTGTGTAAAATGATCATTTGATTTTTTTTTGGGGGGGTCTGGTCGTGGGGCCTAACTCTGGGCCTGGGCGCTGTCCCTCAGCTCTTCAGCTCAAGGCTAGCACTCTACCACTTGAGCCATAGTGCCACTTCGGCTTTTTTTTTCCTGCTTAAGTGGTGCTGAGGAATCAAACCCAGGGCCTCGAACATGCAAGGCAAGCGCTCTACCACTGAGCCACCTTCCAAGCCTTCATTTGATTTTTTTTATTTTCTATTAATGGATATTTAGACTGTTTTATGTCTTTTACTATTATAAAGATGCCATGGTGGAAAACCTTATCCATTTGTAAATTCTTATATATTTTAATACAGATATAAGGTAGATAAGTACAATTTGAATTCCTCAGGCAATGGAGATATATTATGATTGACCTTCATGAAAATTTTATCACTGTACATTCTTACCAACGAAGTGTGAACATTCTTATTTTTCCACACCTTTGAGAAAAAAATTTTTTAGAAACTATAGTTATGTCTCTTATAATTTAGAAATTATAATTATGTCCCTTATAATTATAATTTAGAAATTATAATCATGTCCCTTTTTTTTCAATCAGTATAGTTGTTTTGTTTTCTTTATTTTGTTTGAGATGGCATTTTACTTTATAGCTCAAGCTGGCCTGGAACTCACTATGTATCCCAGATTGGGTTAGAACTTGTGATTCTCCTGCCTCATGTGCTGAGCTTACAAGCATGTAGCACCATGACTATCAGCATAATATTTTTTTATAATCATCCAGAAATTCTGTATGTCTGTAATTTGTTCTTTTTTAGTGCTGAGTCTACCCATTTTCCTGGTCATGGACAACTAAGTGTTTAAGATACTTCAAACAATGTTGTAACTATTGTTCTAGCATACATTTGCACATATATGTATGAGATTTGTACATGTTCCACATCCTCTTTGGGTTTTGGTATTGTCAAGTTTTAAATTTTCTTTATCCTGGGTCTGGGGAATGTAGCTTAATGGTAGAGTGCTTGCTTAGCATGCATGAAGCTCTGGGTTCGATTTCTCAGTACCACATAAAACAGGAAAAAACAGAAGTGACACTGTGGCTCAAGTGCTAGACTTGAGCCAAAAACAGCTCAAGGACTTGCCCAGGCTCTGAGTTCTGGCAATTTTTTTTCTTTATCCTAGTAGATATAGTTTATTTGCCATGTTTTCAAATATGTATGAAGTATGTCTACTTCAGTGTAATAGAATCTGTCCATGTAGCTATTATTTCTCAACATTCATATTGATATCATGTATGTAGGGACTGCTCAATGAATACTTGTTAGATATTTTTTAATAAGTGCGATTTAAGATGAATACATGATTAAAGAAAACACTAGTTTTATTGAATAGAAATGCACAATTTCTAATATATCTGAATTATTTATATTGTATTTCAGGTCAGTTTACGTTGCGAGACATGTATGAACAATTTCAAAATATCATGAAAATGGGTCCCTTCAGTCAGATCTTGGTTAGTTTGTCCTTAAAAGTTTCTAACATTTCTTTATAGTTCTTTTTTAGAAAATGTTTTTCATTAATGTATAATTTCAATAATATATAATGTCAATAATTATAAACATAATTTCATTGTGACATTTTTATAGTGTATGCATAATTTTTATAATGTATGCATGATTATTCCTAGTATATATATGATTAATAAGCTTTTTGTATTTTTGTTAAAATTTCTAAGATCAGATACTTACTTTAATAATTTGGGTAAGGGCGCTGGTGGCTCATGCCTGTAATCCTAGCTACTCAGGAGGCTGAGATCTGAGGATCGCGGTTTAAAGCCAGCCTGGGCAGGAAAGACCATGAGACTCCTATCTCTAATAAACCACTAGAAAACTGGAAGTGGTGCTATAGCTCAAGTGGTAGAGCACTTGCCTTGAGCTGAAGAGCTGAGGGACAGCGCCCAGGCCCAGAGTTCAAGCCCCATGACCGACAAAAAA